CACGCCTCGCGGAAGTAAGACCCGTGGTTGCAGTGCCCTGTAGAACATGGAGATGTCTTGTGGGTGACAACTGTTAAGAGAGCGTTATTAGACGCAGGAACTATGCTGAGGCGATGTTCAGGAAGCTGCCAGCGCACTTCATAGACTGCCTGCAGAATGCCAGTGTGCGTCTCCCCCCTTTTCTTTCTTCGAGGAGCTTTATAGTTGTTCTTTGTTGTTGCCTTTGATCTGGAGCAGATGTTGCTCATGCTGGAAGATGGAGGTTTGCATGTTTTATGAGGGGGAAGCAACATGATACTAGGCTGACAGGGACAGCCTGTCTCGCTTGCGGGCTGCCGTGTGGACCGCCGGTCCTGGATAGCGCAAGGTGCTTTCCTGGGGGCTCTTTGGAGCAGTTTGTTGTCGGTAATGCTGGAGCCTTCATCTAGCCCACCGCACAGCGGCTACAGGCTGTCGCAAAACCTGTTCTGCCCGACTCCGACACGAGAAACGATTTGCAGGCTTAGAGAGGGCATGCATGTGTTTCTGTGGCGCTTGCTTGGCTCTCGCACACGTCCTTGAGCGCGTCTGGAACGCGTGCTCTCTCAGCCCGGCCTTGCCCAGGCACGGGTAGGGAGGCGCTGGTATCCCCGTGTGCAGCCTGGAGACGCAGAGAGGCTACGGCCTGGTCTGCAGAAGGGCAGTTCTTTCTTGCAAGCGCACTCTCCTTCCCCAACCCCGTGCGTGACTGGAGTGTCCTCTTCTCTCCTGTGCCATGGAGCTCTTCCACTGTGGGAAGAGTGGAGCTCTTCCACCACGGGCCCGACCTAAGGCGTGCTCTGTGCCACCGCTCCTATGAAACGTGCCAGCCCGGAAAGTGAGCTGTCTCTTAAATCAAGAGCGCAGGCATATGGTCACACGGTTGTCCCATTCATCAATGGCTGGTGAGGCTGGTCAGAAGTTTTCTTCCCATAACTCTGGCAGCAAAGCCGCCCCAGGTCCACACTCCCCTAGTGTTTGCGGGCCTCCTTGCATCTCACCTAAAGCATGACTGAAGTCTGGGGTGGGACGGAGCTGAGCTCCTGCGTGGCTCTGCTCGCTCCCTGCCGTTCGGAGGGAGTTGGCCGCTCCAGGGAGAGCTGGGCAGCCGGGCTGGGAGGTGCGGCAGGAGAAGTGAGCGACCGCCAAATGTCAGGGAAAGGTGTGGTGTGACCAGCCTGGCCCTCGCACTCCTCAGGCGGGGAAGATGGATGGGGAGATAATGATGATAGGAGCTGGTGTGGCTAAAACGAGGAGGCAGAGCTGGAGATGTTTATGCAAATAGGGAAGAGCTATAAAAACAGGCTGGAGGAGTAATCAGGGAAGGCATCAGTCACCCAGCTAATGCCCCGGAGTGGCTGTCGTCTGAAAGGCAGCACGGGAAGTGTGAGGAGCGCCGTGGTGGGGCTCTGCTGTGGCATGGGCAGCGTGCACGTGCCCGAGGAGCGCGCGCCTCTGCACCGAGAGCTGCGTGCAGCGCCGCGCTCAGCTGCCGTGGTGTAACCCTGCACGGGGCGCCGCGGGTGCGTTTTGCACAGCGGTGAGGGCCGCGGCGGTGGCTCGTGGGGCAGAGCTCGGAGCTGAGAGCGTCGCAGGCCTGCAGCGTGAGGGTGCGCGTGGCAGGAGACGGGGAATAGGTCTGCGTGGGCAAGAGCGTACGCTAGGATCCGTAAAGAGGTACGGCGCCTGATTGAAACCCGAGACCACGTAACACGCCGCAAGGTTTGGTTAAATAGTTCTGTCCCGGGGACTGCGTGGGGGCGAGTGAATGCCACGTCTGGACAAACCCAGGGCATGCCCTGGGCACCTGCGGAGGGCTGAGATGGTTCAGAACAGTGCAGAGACCTTTCCCGACGACATGGCCGCGGGAAAAAAAAAGAAAAGAAGAAGAAAAAATCAGATCGATAAAACACCAGCCCATCTCTGGGGAAATCTGCACTGTGTCACTGGAGCAGCTTGGCCGACACTGCCGTGTTTAATCACTTTTGAGCAAGAGAGATGCTGAACACAAAAGGACTGCCCGCAAGGAGAGCGTTCCCGCCTGGGAAGCCTGCATTTATTTAGCTTTATTTATTTATTCATTCCCATTGGGGCACAGCTCCATCTGCGCCCTGCGTTCAGCGTAAGAAATTTTTCCTCTGCCCCGTCGCCGCAGAGCTGCCAACCGCTGGATAAAGCATTTTAATGCAGATGGGATGGGAGCACTGTTGACTGTTCAGTCGTATTGAATATATATTTGCGATCCCTTATTTATTAAGGTTTTTCTCCCTAGCGTAGTAAAAGCCTTATAATATACCTGTTAAGTCTCGAGAAAGGCATTTTAAATAGTTCGTGTGCTTAATTATTCAAACATTTAATTAGCATACAATAACTGTCGTGTTAAATCCTGCCAGCGCGCGCTTAATTTAAGGGCTAGCTAAAGACTTCTCTCACGTTGTCGCTCTCGTTTACTTCCCAGCCGTTCCAGCCTCCCCTCTGCCTCTTCTCATCTCGTGTGGGCTGGAGTAAATTGCTCGAGACCAACAGTCTCTTCCCGAGCGTGTCCCGAGATTACCCAGGCAGGCTGGGCCTTTTGCCCGCGGGCGCTCAAGTTGCTTACGCGCTTTTCAGGCGGAAATGCAAAACCTCCCGTCGCCGGGCCAAGAAAAACCCAATCAACTCTCCTCCCCTGCCCGGTCGGAACAAAATTAAAACCTCCACGGGAACGGCAGCGCTGGGGTGTTGCTGAGGAGGAGGATGTAACGCTCACGCTTCAGGAGAAGTGGCAATCAGAGTTGTATTCGCTTCAGTCATGTTTTAAAATGTGCCCCGCTCATTTGGTTACAAATTTTTGTTCGTCTCGCCCGTGTTGATGCAAATCCTTTTATGTTATAACAGTCATAATGCAAAGTCTTCACACCTGAATTTACTTTTTAAGTCTCGGCGAGCTCTGCAAAACAAGCTAAGTTTGCATGACACGGATTCATTAATTAAAAACCTCACGGAGTTCCGCTTTGAATTAGGGCGTGTTGCGCCGAAGGTGATAGATGGTCTTCTAGTTTTGTCGGGACACGCAGCTCTCGCTTCTTCCCGGGCGATTTGGGGCAATTCATTCCGTTCGTCTCCTTCCACCTCTGTAAAACAGCAACGGTGATGCTTCCTTGGGCCTTTTAGTTATCGAGAGCGCCGGCATCTTTTCAAAGGTGCGCGCGCGTTTCTGGCGTAGCGATCCTGATCTTCCCAGGGACGCAGCGGGGCAGTTGTAGCGCAGACGTAGCTAGTTGGGTCTCCTCCGCGCTTCTGTTGGCAGAGCGTCTCTCAGCACCGTGCGGGCTGTTAGTCCCAAAAGGCGCGTGCCGTCCCCTTACGCTGGGCTTAATGATGCTGATGCATATTAATAGAAGCATAATTCCTTCGGTGTCGTCTTTGTGCCCTACGCTGTCCTGTCCCAGAGCCCCTGCCGTTCTGGGGATGTCTGATCCGCGGTCGTCCTCTGGTGCGTGATTAGCAGATTAGCTGTTGCGCCCAAAGCAGCAAAAAAATGAACTCCCAGAAGCCCTTCAAAACAGAGAATAATTCATTACCCACCTTGATTTCCACTTAAAACGTACTTTAACTACACTTCCAACTACAAACCCTAAATCACCCTCATGTTCACAAAAAATCCATCATTTTTTATTTTATTGCACGGCGCTGGCATGACATAATCCCTTCCAGAGCGTCTTGGAGTGCTTTACGGATCAATAAATTACTTACCTGCACAGCAGAGGCAATGCGGGCAAGGCCATTGCAGTCATTGTGCGCTCAGCCGAGCCCCTGGCAGGGCTTGCGTGCGTGCCAGCTAGTCCCGCTGCCCGCGACTGGAGGGGCAGGCGAGGAAGGGGTGCTTGGCAGAGTGGGGTGCGAGTCAAGAATAAGAGCGGTCGGAATGGCGTAGACCGTGCCGGGTCCTGGCGTGGGCTAGAGCCTCATACGGGTCGCTGAACGGTAGAGGGAGCAGGCGCCTTTGCAAGGGAATTGTAACTATCCTGCAGAGCGCCGCAGCAGGGTGCGAATCCTCTCCCTTGGCTCTTGAGAATGGCCTGAAAAAACCTAACCGAGGAAGGTGATGGTCGTTATTATGTTCTGCAGGTGCAGGCTGATAGCAGCGGCCGATCGTTTTTGTCGTGCAGCCCTGCCGTCCTGTCTGAGCTGGTACAAATCCCAGCCCTCCCCGCCCTCGCGCAGCGGCGGGAACCGAGAGCTCCCCATGTGCTCTCGGTCCCTTCCCTCTCCTCAGGCTCCCTTATCTTTGATGTGCGTGTCCCCCGTCTTGTTCTGGACGTGGGGGTCGGCCAGCCATCCTTTTTTTCTCAGCCAGCCCTGGACATTCGTGATGGCAGCTCCAACGCAGCCCGATGGCTTTCGTCCCAACTGAATTGCCCTTCCCCGGCAGAGTAGTAGATCTTAAAGACTCCGAGGCAGGCTTGTCGTCTTCGGTGCCAGCTCCTCGCAGTGCCCTCTTGGTGGTCACGTCGGGCTCTGTAGGCATGGCGTAGAGCCTGCGCATCTGCAGAAAGAGCTGCAGGCCACACGCGTGCTTTGCGTGATTGTGTTGCACCGGCCCCGGTTGTTTTGCTTGGGAGATTTTAGAAGGGACGGTGTTTTCCCACCAGGAGGTAGCTCTGCTGGAAAGGGGTTGTCTTGGGTTGGGAGGACAGGGTGAGTAGTGGAAGCGCGTGGAGGGAGAAGTACCGTCTCTCACATCATAGATGCGCTGCCGGAGGATCTGTCTGGAGCCTCTCTAAAACGACTGACTTCCCTGTGCGTGCGACTTCTTCCCGCTTCAGCCCTGTCTCCTTCCCCTGCGTTTTACTGCCAAGTCAGATGAGAGGGGTGGGCCTACTGCTGACTTGGCAGAGATAGAAGGATGAGAGAGAGTCATCCTCCTCCACCCACGCTTTGAAAGTTCGGTCACATCAGACCTGCTTGCATTTTCACTTCCCTCTCTGTGTTCGTTACAGTGTCTCCGAAAATTACCGAGATCTCTTCTGATATCTCCATCAACGAAGGTGGCAACGTCAGCCTCACCTGTATAGCCACGGGCAGGCCAGATCCGACGATCACCTGGAGACACATCTCACCCAAAGGTAAGGGAGCCAAATGTCAGCAGAAACGTTACGGGAAGGGCCGAGTGCCGTTTGTGAGCAGCTGGGGAAGTATCTGTGGCTGGTTCACCTGGCGTTTCAGTCTGTAAAGTCAAGGGAGTAGGCACTAAAAAAAGGTGACTTCAGGCAGGACTGTGGTTGTGGATTATTTGCACCTCCGCCTGATGGTCTGGGAGAGGAGATTTCTGCCTGTCCCGTGACGAAACCCTGTTTGTGCCAACTAACTGCTTATACTGTGTATCCGGAAGAGGAGGTAGAGCTGAGAAAGCAGAATACAGTTTTGTTTATGTGGAGAGCTGGCAGTAGGTGGCGAGTTTGGGGCTGGGTTTGGGCTTCATCGGGGATCGAATATGCCATGTGGAGGCATGAGGGTGTTGTGTCCGCTGGAGCCGCCGTTGCTGTTGTTTGTGTATCGGACCTCTACCGAGAGCCAGGTTCAGGGCGATTGGAAAAGTTGTCTTGGAATGTCTCATGTTGCTTCAAAGAGGGACTGGGAATTGCCGTGCGAATCAACCAGAGAAGGTGCTAAGCGTGTGGCTTTAATCGGTACCTCTTGTTAACTGGTAAGCAAAACCTGCGCAGACCTGCGTAGGTGTGACTGCGACTGCTGGGAAGTGCATTTGCAAATCCTTTCCCAGCCGTTTTCCTGCGGTTTTGAGTTTTGCTGTCCCGTTGGTCCCGGATCGCTGCGCGGTTCTCACGGATGAGCTGAGATCTGGGCCTTTGGACATCCAGCCGAAGGGCAGCGCTAGGCCTGGGCGCGATCCTCTGCTCGACACGTTGCTCGTCTCCCATCCTGCAGACGACCCGCCGAGCGAAGTGCTTCTGTTTGACCTCATGCATTTTTTTCCCCCTGAGGTCTTACCGGTTTGCACTGCTGTCCCAGACGACAGCCTCAGGCGCTGCTCGGGACCCCCAGGCTGGGCTGCCTGGCAGCCGAAGGGGAAGAGGCAACGGCAGCGGTGATGGACGGCACCCTGTCTGCTCTCTTTACGCAGCTGCCTGATGATCACTGTGGTGTCTTAGCGCTGCTCCATTGACTTTTCCTATCTGTCTGCTTTGTAGCAAACTAGCAGGCCAAATCCATCGCTCTCCATAGGCCAGGCAGAGAGCGCAAGCTGAGACAGCGGCGTCTCGGCCTGTTCCTTTGACGCGCACCTCTGAAGTGACCGTGCCCCTGTGCACGTGTTGCCCTGTCGGCCGTAGGTGGTCTTGCCTCCGAGAGGGAGGCCTTTGGTCGGTCTCTGTGCGCGGACGAGTGATGGAGTGCAGGGCACAGAGCTGCGTGCTCCTCTCCAGCCCTGAGGGTCAGGGAACGGGGCTGAAGTTGCTGTCGCTCTGTCTGTCGCCATCAGGCAGCATTTATGATTGATTGGCTCCCACTTTTAAGTCTTATTTTTTTTCTTTCTCCTCTTCCCCTTGTCTACCCTAACTGTGTCTTTTTGTCCTGCCCGAGCTCCTCGCCGTCTCTTTTTCAGATGTTTCTCGCTTTGCCCGCGGGCCCTCCTCTCCTTCCCGCATCGCTTTTTGTTCCCCCGGGACGCTTCTCTCTTACTCCCGTGCCCTTCGCTGTGTTCTCCTGCGTGCCGTCCATCCTCTCCTAACCAGACTTCTTGCTTATGATTTTTTTGTCTTTCAGAGACAGACTTTTCCTTTTCCCCGTGTTTGCTGCCATCCGGCAGGTTTCTTTCCCCAGGGAATCTTTACCTGCGCTTGAACCAGATGTTTCCATTTTACTTAGGTCTTAGCTGCTATGGAAACTGAGGATGCACCAAGAGAGGAATTTTAGAGCGGGCTAATCAGAAATTACCTGTGGTGCTATGTAGTTTGCAGCAGCAGCTCTTACCTGATTTTGGCCATGATTAGGCATTCTGCTTTCAAAACTCAAATAGAACAAATCTTTGTGCAGATTTACTTCAATCTGGCCTCCTGCTGGTGGAGGGTGCTGAGCCCAGAGGTGGCCCGAGACAACTTCGCCACCCGCCTATGTGTGTACCCAACTCCTCTGTTTCTCTCTCTGGGTCCGCCACAGCCACCAGAGGGGACGTCTAGTTGTCAGCTATGCGTTCAGCGTCCGTATGAGACGTGAGGAGTCGAAGCATTTGGGACTGAATTAAGAGCCAGGGCTAGGTGCACAGAGGTGCTGTGGCAGGGGCCGAGACGGTAACCCTGCCCCGCTGGGATGAACTATGATAGGAAGAGCCAAGACGCCCTCTAGCAACTGGGGAACCGCAGCTAAGTGTTGGCCCCACCTCATGGCCAGACCTAGTTCTAGGTCTGCCTCGCCACTCGTTCCCGGAGAAGTCTGGAGCAAGCTTCCTTTTCACTGCCTTCCTCTGTCTCGCTTGGAGCGGTGGAGGAGAGGCACCGGAGAGAAGTGGTTAAGATAAAGCTGATGCATAATTTAAAGGTTTTCTTAGTGGATGGGTAAGCGGCTCTCACCGATGTCGCTGGGGAGCGGCACCGATAGAGCTTTTTGTGCTGGCAACGGGCAGAAATGGCAGCTGAAGGAGCTGGTCCCCATGCCTACACCAGCAGGTGCTGCTCCGCGCAAAGGCGCTTCGTGGGCTGTATTACTGTCTTGGCACCTCTGTGTCCGCTGCGTGGCTCTTGATGGGAAATGGAGCAAAGACGAGCGTTTGCTCCCCTGGGGAGCGTGCGTTCTGGTCCTTCAGTGGATTTGTGCCTGGAGCGGCCTGGCTCCTCAGCGATTCATCTCTCTCCAGCTCCTTTTCTAGCCACCCCCGGTTCCCGTGACCGCTTGCCTGATTTCCAGCCTCTTGCATTGGTCTGGCCCGGTGGAATAAGTAGTCAGCAGCTTGGTCTGATGAGCTCTTCTGCATTTTCATCTCTGCCGATGTAGCCGTGTGACTGGAGCCACCGAGCCCGTTTTCGAGGCGCTGTTCTGTTCTGGCGCTGAAAGAGTTGCTCACAAGCAGGAGCTGGGAATATTTGCAGTGTTTAACTTGAGCTGCAGACCTGAGCACGTGAGTTTGCTGCCAGCGAACGGCAGGAGCTCTGGCCCGTCCGTGCCTCCCTGGCCGCCCAGCGGGGTTGC